TTTTTTAGAATATATGTTTGCTTTCCTCAACTGAGCTCAGGAGTCTCCTCAAAAGTTACACAAGTTTATATACGAATCGGAGTAGAAGTGTACAGAAAAATTTCCCAAAATTTTATCGGAATTTCCATATTGTCACCAACACCTGTGTTTGACTTTATCGATGCTGTGATGGTGATAAGATGATGATAGCAATGAGGATTTTGTCACGCGCCATGAAATTAGCATCGATGGTTTTGTGGTTCAGGCACGCTGTTGATCACTTTGGCGTTTTTGCGTAGTGTTGATCGAAAGCAACGGACTTGGGAGAACCTTATATTGTTTTGGAAGTAAGTCGTGTTTCAGCTATCATGGAGAGGTTCAAAGTGGGCACGAAATGAATCTTTAAAGATATGCACATGTGTGTTTTGTCAGTAGATGTTGGAGTTTCACAACCCGTCTTACGTGAAACGGCGTAATACTCCGTGTGAAAAACGCGATATTCGCGTTGATATGAAGTGGACGGATTACCTCATTTCACGTGAAACATGTTTGCGGCATTTCACATGTTTTACGCGTTATTCACCGCTCACATGCGTTTTTCGCGAAGTTAAATGTGAACTGAAAAACACTAGTGAAAAATATACTTCACGATTACTGCATAGCGCGAATATCGGTATACGCCGCTTCATGTAAAACGGGTGAAACTCCATTGCTATGAACATGTGATGTGATAAGAGTAACCGTTTGGGACTGTGATAGCGACAAGTTGTTCACTATCATTAATCTCGGAACAGAAAACGAACATGTGATGTGATAAGAGTAACCGTTTGGGACTGTGATAGCGACAAGTTGTTCACTATCATTAATCTCGGAATAGAAAACGAACATGTGATGTGATAAGAGTAACCGTTTGGGACTGTGATAGCGACAAGTTGTTCACTATCATTAATCTCGGAACAGAAAACGAACATGTGATGTGATAAGAGTAACCGTTTGGGACTGTGATAGCGACAAGTTGTTTACTATCATTAATCTCGGAATAGAAAACGAACATGTGATGTGATAAGAGTAACCGTTTGGGACTGTGATAGCGACAAGTTGTTCACTATCATTAATCTCGGAATAGAAAACGAACATGTGATGTGATAAGAGTAACCGTTTGGGACTGTGATAGCGACAAGTTGTTCACTATCAATAATCTCGGAATAGAAAACGAACATTCTTTACATTTGCATAACAAATTGAAGTATATGCGTTAATTTTCAGGACGGAAGTTTTCTCGAGTTTTTACGACTACATAAAAATGTGCGTCCCTGCGCTGTGTTATGCGGTCCAAAAAAATGCGCTGTATCTCGCGATAACGCATCTGCAAGCAGCAGTGTTTCAAATCACATATCAGGTGAGAATCTTAGGTTCAACATGGTATGATACAAAGTAGGTCCGAAGGATGCCGAAGATGCTCTTATTTTGTTGCGGTGAGAATTTATGTAGACTTTTTTGCACGCATGCGCATAGGCGGAGCGATGCTTATTTATATGCGAAGAAATCTTGTGACACACTGTGAAGCTAAACTAGAATACGGGCGTGCAGATCAGAATTATATGTTTTCTTATGCGGTGACGTTTTAACACGGGGAAAACGTTCCTTCAGGGCAAGATCCTCACGACAGCGCTTTTCTCTGTGATGATGTTGAATAAGAGGCTCAGTCGGCGACAAATATTCAGCTTGATTGTAAGTCGATTCTGAAAATTCTCGTTGTTGAATTCGCCGTGTGGGAAGGTCCTCCTGGTGGGCGTGTCTATTGTGCAGTTGTCCCAATTAAAGAAGGAAAATGATGATGTTAAGGACGACAACACTAGTGAGTTTCGCGACATAGTTGTTGTTAAACTGATGGAATAATGGTAACC